AAAAACCAACCATCAGCAAGGCATAGCATAGTCAAATTCACAAAACACTCAAGCAAGGAAAGAATCATGAAAGCAGCAAGGGAAAAAAGTCCTTAACCTACAAGGGAAGACAGATCAGGTTTGCAGCTGACCCATCCACAGAAACTTGGCAGGCCGGAAAGGAATGGCACGATATATTCCATATGCTGAATCAGAAAAATATATAGCCAAGAATTCTTTATCCAGCAAGGCTGTCATTCAAAATAAAAGGAGAGATTAAAATTTTCCCAGACAAACAAAAATTAAAGGAGTTGGTGACCACTAAACCAGCCCTGCAAGAAATTTTAAGGGGGACTCTCTGAGGGGAGAAAAAATGAAAACAACACCAACAACAACAACAAATAAATAAAAACCTAAAGCAACAAAGACTAGAAAGTACCAGAGAATACCACCAGAAACTCCAACTCTACAAGCAACATAATGGCAATAAATTCATATCTTTCAGTACTCACTCTAAATGTCAGTGGACTCAGTGCCCCAATCAAAAGACACAGAGTAACAGATGGATAGGAAAAGAAGATCCATCTAGATGCTGTTTACAAGAGACCCACTTTAAACCTAAAGACACCTTCAGATTGAAAAAAAGGGGATGGAGAAGCATCTATCATGCTAATGGTCAAAAGAAAGCCGGAGTAGCCATACTTATATCAATCTAGACTTTAAAATAAAGACTGTATCAAGAGATGCAGAAGGGCATTATATCATAATCAAGGGGTCTATACCAAGAAGGCATAACAATTGTAAACATTCATGTGCCAAATGTGAGAGCACCCAAATATATAAATCAATTAATCACAAACATAAAGAAACTCATCCATAGTAATACCATAATAGTAGGAGACTTCAACACCCCACTTACAACAATGGACAGATCATCTAATCAAAATATCAACAAGGAAACCATGGCTTTGAATGACACACTGGACCAGATGGACCTAACAGATATATTCAGAACATTTCATCCTAAAGCAGCAGAATATACATTCTTCTCCAGTTCACATGGACATCCTCCAGAATAGACCACATACTGGGACACAAATCAGCCCTCAGCAAGTACAAAAAGATTGAGATCATACTGTGCATATTTTCAGACCACAACGCTATGAAACTCGAAATCAACCACAAGAAAAAAATTTGGAAAGGTAACGAATACTTGGGGACTAAAGAACATCCTACTAAAGAATGAATGGGCTAACCAAAAAGTTAAAGAGGAAATTAAAAAGTATTGGAAACCAATGAAAATGATAACACCATAACCCAAAACCTCTGGGACACAAGAAAGGCGATCATAAAAGGAAAATATACAGCAATCCAGGCCTTCCTAAAGAAGGAAGAAAGATCTCAGATACACAACCTAACCTTACACCTTAAAGAACAGCAAATAAAACCCCAAACCAGCAGAAGACTGGAAATAATAGATTAGAGCAGAAATTAATGCTATCAAAACAAACAACAACAAAAAAACACAGAACAGATCAATGAAACCAGAAGGTGTTTCTTTGAAAGAATTAACAAAATTGATAAGCCACTAGCTAATTTGATCAAAAAGAAAAAGAAAAGGACACAAATAAATAAAATCAAGAATGAAAAAAGAGGGTGGGAGGGAGGGGAGAGTGGGTGATGGGTATTGAGGAGGGCACCTTTTGGGATAAGCACTGGGTGTTGTATGGAAACCAATTTGACAATAAATTTCATACATTGAAAAAAAAAAAGAATGAAAGAAGAGAGATCACAACCAAAACAGCATAAATAAAAAGAAATAATAGGAGAATATTATGAGCAATTATATGCCAACAAAATGGGAAATCTGGAAGAAATGGATAAATTCCTAGAAACATACACTACCAAAACTGAAACAGGAAGAAATAGAAAATTTGAACAGACCCATAACCAGTAAAGAAATCGAATTCATAATAAAAAATATCCCCAAAAACAAGAGTCCAGGGCCAGATAGCTTTCCAGGGGAATTCTACCAAACATTTAAGGAAAAGTTAACACCTATTCTCTTGAAGCTGTTCCAAAAAATAGAAATGGAAGGAAAACTTCCAAACTCTTTCTATGAAGCCAGCATTTCCTTGACTCCAAAACCAGACACAGACCCCACTAAAAAAGGAGAACTATAGACCAATTTCCCTGATGAACACGGATGCAAAAATCCTCAACAAGATATTAGCCAAATAGATCCAACATACATTAAAAAAATTATCTCAATGACCAACTGGGATTTATACCTGGCAAGCAAGGCTGGTTCAATATCCGAAAAACAATCAATGTGACGCATCACATCAATAAAAGAAAGGACAAGAACCATATGATCCTCTCAATAGATGCGGAGAAAGCATTTGACAAAATACAGCATACTTTCTTGATAAAAACCCTCAACAAAGTAGGGATAGAAGGATCATACCTCAAGATCATAAAAGCCATATAAGAAAGACCCAATGCTAATATCATACTCAATGGGGAAAAACTGAGAGATTTCCCCCCAATATCAGGAACAAGACAGGGATATCAACTCTCGCCACTGTTATTCAACATAATATTGGAAGTCTTAGCCTCTGCAATCAGACAACACAAAGAAATAAAAGGCATCCAAATCGGCCAAGAGGAGGTCAAACTTTCACTCTTCATAGATGACATGATACTCTATATGGAAAACCCAAAAGATTCCACCAAAAAACTGCTAGAACTGATTCATGAATTCAGCAAAGTTGCAGGATACAAAATCAATGCACAGAAATCAGTTGCATTCCTATACACCAACAATGAAGCAACAGAAAGAGAAATCAAGGAATCGATCCCATTTACCATTGCATCAAAAACCATAAAATACCTAGGAATAAATCTAACCAAAGAGGTGAAAAATCTATACACTGACAACTATAGAAAGCCTATGAAAGAAATTGAAGAAGACACCAAAAAATGGAAAAAGATTCCATGTTCCTGGATAGGAAGAACAAATATTATGAAAATTTCAATACTACCCAAAGCAATCTACATATTCAATGCAATCCCTATCAAAATAACACCAGCATTCTTCACAAAGCTAGAACAAATAATCCTAAAATATGTATGGAACCAGAAAAGACCCCGAATAGCCAAAGCAATCTTGAAAAAGGAAACCAAAGCAGGAGGCATCACAATCCCAGACTTCAAGCTATACTACAAAGCTGTAATCATCAAGACAGTATGGTACTGGCACAAGAACAGACACTCAGATCAATGGAACAGAATAGAGAACCAAGAAATGGACCCACAAACGTATGGCCACCTAATCTTTGACAAAGCAGGAAAGAATATCCAATGGAATAAAGACAGTCTCTTCAGCAAGTGGTGCTGGGAAAACTGGACAGCGACATGCAGAAGAATGAACCTGGACCACTTTCTTACACCATACACAAAAATAAACTCAAAATGGATGAAAGACCTCAATATAAGAAAGGAAGCCATCAAAATCCTCAAGGAGAAAGCAGGCAAAAACCTCTTTGATCTTGGCCACAGCAACTTCTTACTCAACACATTTCCAGAGGCAAGGGAAACAAAAGCAAAAATGAACTACTGGGACCTCATCAAAATAAAAAGCTTCTGCACAGCAAAGGGAACAATCAGCAAAACTAAAAGGCAACCGACAGAATGGGAGAAGACATACCAGATAAAGGGTTAGTATCCAAAATCTATAAAGAACTGATCAAACTCAACACCCAAAAAACAAAGAATCCAGTGAAGAAATGGGCAAAAGACATGAATAGACACTTCTCCAAAGAAGACATCCAGATAGCCAACTGACACATGAAAAAATGCTCAACATCACTCATCATCAGGGAAATACAAATCGAAACCACAATGAGATACCACCTTACACCTGTCAGAATGACTAACATTAACAACTCAGGCAACAACAAATGTTGGCCAGGATGCAGAGAAAGAGGATCTCTTTTGCATTGCTGGTGGGAATGCAAGCTGGTGCAGCCACTCTGGAAAACAGTATGGAGGTTCCTCAAAAAATTAAAAATAGAACTATCCTACCACCCAGCAATTGCACTACTAGGTCTTTATCCAAATGATGGAGGTGTGCTGTTTCAAAGGGGCACATGTACCCCAAAGTTTATAGCAGCACTATCAACAATAGCCAAAGTATGGCAAGAGCCCCAATGTCCATGGATGGATGAATGGATAAAGAAGATGTGGTATACATATACAATAGAGTATTATTCAGAAATCAAAAAGAATGAAATCTTGCCATTTGCAATTACATGGATGGAACTAGAGCATATTATGGTAAGTGAAATTAGTCAGAGAAAGACAAATACCATATGATTTCATTCGTATGAGGGCTTTAAGACACAGAACAGATTAACATAAGGGAAGGGAAGCAAAAATAATATAAAAATAGGGAGGGGGACAAAACATAAGAGACTCAAATATGGAGAACAAACAGAGGGGGTTACTAGAAGGGTTGTGGGAGGGTAGATGGGCTAAATGGGTAAGGGGCATTAAGGAATCTACTTCTGAAATCATTGTTGCACTATATGCTAACTAATTTGCATGCAAATTAAAAAAATAAAATTTAAAAAATATTTGTTGAATTAATTAATTAATTAATAATGCATATAAAACATTTAGGCAATGCTAAACACAATACGTTTTAACTATTATTAGGGACTTAATATATAATAGGATGATAAAAATAAGTTATTTATATAAAGTAGAAAACTCTAAGGGTCAAAAGAACTGTACAAGAAAAAATAACACTACAAAATTCCTTGTAGGAATGATTATTTCCACCTCAGAGGATCTGTACAATAGCAGAAACAGTTAAACAAATTATGGTATATTCATACAATGGAATACTATAAAATAAAGCAATGAAAGTGAAGAGAATACTTCTACACATAGTCACAGGGATGAATCTCACAACCATAATGGTGAGCAAAAGAAATTAGGCACAAGGGAACACATACTGTGTGATCAGATGTACAGGAAGTTCACTGAATCTTTTTATGGTATTATCAGGATATATGCCTGTGGAGAAGAGGAAAAGTACAGAATTGGAGGGACACAGGGACACTTCTGTCACTGGTGGTGTTTTAAATGTCCTGACCTGGGTGGTGGTTCTCTAACAATCTCATTCTGTACATATATTGTATAAGTCAGCTTTGTTTTTGCTGCAGCAACAACCCCAATATCTCAGTGGCTCACTGTAACAGAAGAATTTGTTCCTTGCTTCCACCACATGGGAGTTGCAGTCTAGTCGGCTCTCCTGGGTTTACTTAGGCCCAGCTCCACCTGGCTTTATTCTGAAAGTATTCACTTCTTGGACCCAGACTAGAAAAGTGGTCACTATTTGGAGTGTGCTTCCTCATCTAGCAGGATTCAGAAACTCAACAGTAGTAGGCAATGTGTGCAGCTAGTGGCATTAAAATTTTCTGCTCAGATATGGTCACAGCTTGTTCAAAACTTTGTTTCTGATCTATTTGATACAGTCATCTCCACATGCCGTGAGCTACACCCATAGTTCTCTGAGACACACTTATTTACAGATATTTCACAATCTTTATGAAGCTTCAGTAGGAACACACCCTTTGTCTCTTTACCCAGAACCATTTTCTGCAGCTGAAAAATATTATTTTCAGATGGAATTGAAGTTCCCAGTTGATTTTTAGTTAAAAGGGAGATGGGGGTGGGTGGGAACAAGAGAATGATTTTTGCTAGAGCCCTCCCCAAGGTCAGAAAGCTTCTTCTGCTGCCCTTGAAGAAGTAAGCTGTCATGTTGTGAGAAAGACTGGGCATGGCATGGAATTGCCAGAAGCCTCTAAAAGCTGAAAGTAGCCCCTATCAGATAATCAGGAAGAGGAAGGAACCTTCATTCCTACAACTGCAAGAAACTGCATTCTGCCAACCATGTGAACTTGATAGAGAATCCCAAGCTCCAAAAAGGAATGTGGCTGGGCTGACATCTTGAGTACAGCCTTGCAGTGCCTGAACTCATGACTCATGGACACTAGGAAATAAAAGAAAAAAAAAAAAAAAGTTTGTTTTAAGTTGCTAAATTTGTAATAATTTGTTTCATAGCAATAGGGGGAAAAAATAGACCTTCCATTCCATAAACTCCACCTGGCCTCACACTGGTCCTGGCACTCTTCAAATTGGTGTGGTTGTTCTCAAATTTCGATGTACCAGAACTACCTAAAGGGATATTAGAAGAAAGATTGCAGAACCCTAACCCCAGAGATTCTAATTCATTAGATATAGAGCGGGGTCCACCCCTGTGTGATTTTCCAGGTGATACTATTACTGTTGATCTCGAGGAGAGCCTGGATGGCTTAGTCGGTTAAGCATCTGACTCCTGATTTTGGCTTAGGTCATGATCTTATGGTTCGTGAGATCAAACCCTGCATCCAGCTCCACGCTGACAGTGTGGTGCCTGCTTGGGATTCTCTCTCTCTCCCTCTCTCTCTGCCCCTCCCTTGCTCATGCTCACTGTCTCTCTCGAAATAAATAAATAAGCTTAAAAAAAAACCTGTTGATCTAGAAACCATACTTTGAGAATCACAGGTCTACTGTGACTACATTTACTTCTATGCATTTTAAATGTCCTCAATAGCAAAATACTATGAGATCATAAGCATCTGGTTGAAGAAAATGGTTGACTTTCTTTATACTGGTTTCCATAAAAGAAAAAAGATAGAGAGGAAGAGCTTATTAAATAATATTCGTTAAGTTTAATATCTAATTTTCTTCAAGCTACCTGATTCTTATTACTCCTGTGGCAGATGAGCAAATTTCCATAGATGCACTGATATATTACTTTTCCCCATATTATAACGAACATTCCTGGGGGTTTTTGTACTATTTCCATTATAGTGGCATGATTTGTAGTAGAAATAGTTAAAATGTCATAGCCAATATTTGTACTTGAAATTGTTAAAATGATGCATTCAATATTTTAAGAGGGCTCAATAAACCAAATTTTAAACCAAATTGATAATTATGGATTACATTCATAATATCTTTGTTGTGACTACCTAAATAATTTAACACAAACATTTTTTAAAAGAATTACAACTATTAATAATATCATCAGGGAGGGGTGCCTGGGTGGCTCAGTTTGTTGGGCATCTGACTTCGCCCCAGGTCATGATCTCACGGTTTATGGGTTTGGGCCCCACATCGGGATCTGTGCTGACAGCTCAGAGCCTGGACCCTGCTTCAGATTCTGTGTCTCCCTCTCTCTCTGTTCCTCCCCCACTCATGCGCTGTTTCTCTCTGTCTCAAAAATAAATAAACATTAAAAAAATTTTTTTTAAATAATAATATCATCAGGGAGCTATGAATTTACTATTCATCTGTTTTAGTATTTGGTTTAATAGCTGGGCCAATACACCATGGAAAGACACTATGTACATCAAGAGAATTACATATACCTATGCTTTTTATGTTTGATGTTCCAATTTGTTTAAACAGAAAAATCATCATCTTTTACCTTCATTTTCTTTTTTTGTTTTAATGTTTATTTACTTACTTTTAATCTTTATTTATTTTTGAGAGACAGAGAGAAACAGAGTGTGAGTGCGGGAGGGGCAGAGAGAAAGAAAGACACAGAATCTGAAGAGGCTCCAGGCTCTGAGCTGTCAGCACAGAGCCCCATGCGGGGCTCAAACTCACAAGCCATGAGATCATGACCTGAGCTGAAATCGGATGCTTAACCAACTGAGCCACCCAGGTGCCCCATCTTTTACCTTCATTTTCTACAAAGGTTTGTTTTGGGGTTTTTGGGGTTTTTTGTTTGTTTAGCTAGAAGTGCCTTTTTCAATGCTGACAGCTTCCAAGCAACTATGGAATGGTAAGAACTACATCATTTAATGAATATTCATATCAAAGAGATATTTATAACATTTTTCATGTCATTGCTCCTTTACCCTTTCCCAACACACACTTTGAGAACTACAATGAAATCTTGAAATCCTGAAGGAACTGCCTTCAATTCTAATTCCAGGCTTTAAAATACATTTTTAAACAGACCTTGAAATTAAAGAGGAAAAATTTTTAAATATTTGTGAGAGGCAATCACACCAGCAAATTCCACAAATAAATTAATATAGGAAAAAATGTGAGAATTAAAAGTGGTATAATAATTTGCTTAAGTAAGGCAATGTAAGAATGGTAAATAAAATAATATTAATACAGAAATATAAGCTCTGTGGAGGTAGAGATTTTTGTCTTTTGTTTCTTGATATGTTTTGTTTCTAGAATCTTTTTTTAATGTTTATTTATTTTGAGAGAGAGGGAGAGAGCGAGAGAGGGACATGGGGAGGGCAGAGAGAGAGGGGGAGAGAAAATCCCAAGCAGGCTCCATGCTATTAGCACCAAGCCTGATGTGGGGCTCAATCTTGATCTCACAACCTCAAGATCATGACCCAAGCCAGTATCAAGAGTCAGATGCTTAATCAACTGAGCCACCCAGGAGAATATTTAATAAAATATTTAATAAAATATTTAATAAAATATTAAATAATATTCTAATATTTCTAGAATATTTAATGCAGAGGAGAAGTCCAAATGTTTATTGAATAAATGGATAAATACATCAATGCGTGTGATACAGAAAATCAATCATTTTTCTCCTAGTCATACAAAACACATCTATGATGCCATGTGCACTCAGGAACAACAATTGAGAATGTCAAAATGGTTCAGATTCCAGCACAATACACTCGATTCTCAATATCAAAGTGAAAAATATAAACTCTTGGTGTTCAAATATACACCATCTAACATGGAAAAGCCAGATATGTAAGTAGCTGTGGTCCAATGGGATAAGTGAAAAAATAATTATATGTAAGTATTATCAGTCACAGACTGGTTGAAAAAAGCTACAAATAAATGATAACATTTGAACATTATCTAAATAGATGAGTGAGTGGACAAACCCAAAGGAAAGGTACAGAAATGTAAAATTAACAGCACCTTTGGAGAACAAGCTGTGGATTTCAAACTTTCTAACCATAATCTGGAGCATGAAATACATATATAGTATACTTCAGTGAAACCAGTGAGTATTGAAATAAAACTCACCTTTACTCATTTCATGTACTTGAGATTTTCTATTTCTTCTTCTTTTTTTTTTTTTTTAATGCTGGTAAAGATGTATTAAATCAATTTGAAGATCCATTCATTTGAAAGACATTGGGATTGAGCATCAAATGGATGTGGTGAGTAGACCACTGAAATAAAAACACAAAGAATGCTCTGTCAGCTGAGCTCCAACTCTCCTCCCATCCAGGTGGTTTGCTAGAGCTACACGACTTAGAGAAGAACGATGATCTATGCCCCTTTCCTACTTAAAACAACTCAGTGTGGTAGAAAAGATGAGTAAAGAAATCCCTCTCTATATCAAGCCAATGTGCAGGAGGGGAGAGAGCCACAGGCCATTTCTTCTCTAGTCTGGGCATAAAATGTAGAGCTTAACATTATTCTGTCTAGAAGGGTTAAGAGTGTTTGAAAATAAAGCAACTCTCACACTTGGGAGCATCCTAGATTCAATCTATATCTGGATTTATCTCAGCATTTATCAGAGTCAAATTGTCATACTACGAACTACAAAAAAAGCAAAACTCTTCTGCTTCCCTTATGAATAATTAACTATTTAACTATTTCCTATCTATTTCCACAGTACTCTTCATTGAAGACTATTTCCTGAGCACTCTATATGCCAGGACCTGTGCTAGTGCTAGGAACTACAATAGGGGGGAAACAAAAGTCCAAGCCTCTTGGAGTTTATGTTTTACAAAAAAACAAATACAGAAATAAACTAATACATACAAATAATAAAAGCAGTAAACAATAGAAAATAAAGCAATAATCAGTATTAGAAAATAACATTTAAGGTAGCCAAAGAGGGCCTTTATCAGAAGGCAATATGTAAGCTGAGACCTAATGGAGGAGAAGAAGCCACTGAGGTTAAGTACTAACATGAAAAACAATGTTCCAAGCCTAGAAGAGCAGAAGTGAAGACCTGAGCCAGGAAAGAGAACATCTGGAGCCCAGTGAGTTGGGAAGGGTATCATGAGATGAGATTGGAAGTTATCTGAACTTACTGGATTGTTTCAGGACCTAGAATGGGAAGTTACTGGAGAGTGACATGGTCTAATTTGGGTTTTGTAAAGCTCATTCTTATAGCTACGTGGACAATGGATTGGATACTGGTATGTTTAGAAGCTGAGCCATCTTTTAGGAGACTGATTTCCAGCAAAGCAAAGATGGAAGATTAGACTAGGGTGCTGGCAAGGGAGAAGGAAAAAAAGATGGGCTCAAGATATATTTTGGAGGGAGAACCAATGAAAGTTATATTCAGAATTTTCTTAAAAGAGACTATAAGTAAGTGCATTGAAAATTGGTTGGAGGAGTCAGTGCATTTAAAAGGAGAAGGGAAGGATTTGGAGGAAGGAAAGGAGAGGTATGCACTAAGTAACAACCTAGAAGTCATACATTAAAGTGGTCACATTTAAAACTCTAATCCCCTGGCTTGCTCTGTGCCTCTATTTAAAACAACAACAAACAAGCTATCAAACTGGGCAGAAACATAGAAGAGCTGCTTTGAGGACTTGTGGTCTTAAGTGGTTGAGCCCAGGCCATTGAAAAAAAGATAATTTTACCCAATGAAAATAATGAAGCAAGATTTAACTAAGATCATCTTAGAAACAGTGGCTGCACATTCAAATTCCCTGGGAAACTTTTAAAACTATATGCCCAGGCTCCACCGAAATGGTTCTGTTTTGGTAACTTTGAGGTGGGACACAGGGATAGGTAATTCTTAAATGCTACACAGATGATTCTACTGAGCAGCAAGAAGTGAGAGCCCTGAGTTAGAAGTAGAGCCGAGGTTTGTCTGGTCAACAAACCTATTTCGTTAAATAAGAGATTAGTAGAAGGAAGTAAAGGTAAAGGAACTTTTTCACCAGATGAGGCATATAGGCCCATTGTTTAGGTAGACATGGCTTGAGACTACAAGAAAATAAAAGTCAATTTTCCTCAATGTGATTTTTTTGAAGTTGGGAGAAAATTTTATTCTACCAGTGTTAAAAATACAGACACTCATACAGAAATCACATTTTAAAGCTATTTTATTGCTACTATGAACAACACAGAGGGAAGAAATTAATAGCTGATAGGTGACTGAAAGAAAAACAGAAGAGGGAGAGTATCAATCTTGTCCAGACAAAATATCACACAGAAAAAAACTGAGTTGCAGTGGAAAAGTGAGCATAAGGGAGGAAGGACTCAGTTATTTCTGAGGGAAAAAGTTTTAATTGGTTACCAGAATACAATTGGCAATGGGTTTCACTGTATCAAATCACCCTTGCTTTTCAACTGTTCTTCAGTCTGAACCCTTCCAAGATTTAAATTTTCAATGAGCCACTGAATTACCAGAGCAAGACTGAGTTAAATAAGTATTCTCCTCAAATAGAGACCAGCAACATAATTCTCAGACTGCAATGAAGATTCCTTGTTGCTGGTGTGGGTGGGTAATTGAAGGCAAGAGTGGTCATACAATCCGTCTTAATCTTTTTAGTTAAGTTGTGCTCTCACCGGAATCAGAACCAAAGTTTTACACCGTGAGAGGTTTTCTTTGTTGTATTTACACCTTCTTTGCACCCTAACGCCATTGAAAACAGAAAAGAAAACGTGAGTGCAATTTTTAAATATCCACCTGGAGAACTTTAAGAGGAGTAATGGTCCAGGTGAGGTGGCAGTGTCTGAAGGGCGTCGCCCGGATGATTCGGTGGAATAAAATCAGACACTTGAGCAGACAAGACAAAGTTGAGCAGACAAGACAAACATGGATGTTTAGTCTTGTGCGCGTGTGGGCTTCAGGAAGGGAGTGAAAGCAAAAGGGAATTGAGCTAAGGAAAAGAGGCGTAGGTACAGGTTCGTAAAATCTGGGTATGGTGGGTGGGAAAGGGATTCCTGTACCTCCAAGGAGCAATTAAAAGAGTTGAGTAGAGCTCTGAGGCTTCTAGCTGGCACCTGTGCTGCGAACCCCCAGGAAGTGGGAGGCGCGGGCGCGCACTACAAGTCCCAGAAGCCCCCGCTTCCTGGAGGCCGCGAGGAGCGGCGCAACGCCCGCTGGGAGTCGGTCGGAGCCGCCAAGATGTCGCAGCCCAAGAAAAGAAAGCTTGAGTCGGGGGGCGGCGGCGAAGGAGGGGAGGGAGCTGAGGAGGAAGATGGCGGAGAGCAGGAGGCGGCCCTGCCGCGACCCCGGAGGGCTAGGCGGGAGCGGGACCAGCTGTACTACGAGTGCTACTCGGACATATCCGTCCACGAGGAGATGATTGCGGACCGCGTCCGCACGGATGCCTATCGCCTGGGCATCCTGCGGAACTGGTCAGCACTGCGGGGCAAGACTGTGCTGGACGTGGGCGCGGGCACCGGCATTCTTAGCATCTTCTGTGTGCAGGCCGGGGCCCGGCGCGTGTACGCGGTGGAGGCCAGCGCCATCTGGCAACAGGCCCGGGAGGTGGTGCGGCTCAACGGCCTGGAGGACCGGGTGCACGTCTTGCCGGGGCCAGTGGAGACGGTGGAGTTGCCGGAGCAGGTGGATGCCATCGTGAGCGAGTGGATGGGCTACGGACTCTTGCACGAGTCCATGCTGAGCTCTGTGCTCTACGCGCGGACCAAGTGGCTGAAGGAGGGCGGTCTTCTCCTGCCGGCTTCCGCCGAGCTCTTCGTGGCGCCCATCAGCGACCAGATGCTGGAGTTGCGCCTAGGCTTCTGGAGCCAGGTGAAGCAGCTCTATGGTGTGGACATGAGCTGCCTGGAGAGCTTCGCCACGCGCTGCCTTATGGGCCACTCGGAGATCGTGGTGCAGGGTTTGTCTGGGGAGGATGTACTGGCCCGGCCGCAGCGCTTTGCTCAGCTGGAGCTGGCCCGCACCGGCCTGGAGCAGGAGCTGGAGGCTGGGGTGGGCGGACGCTTCCGCTTCAGTTGCTACGGCTCGGCGCCCATGCACGGCTTTGCCATCTGGTTCCAGGTGACCTTCCCCGGAGGGGACTCGGAGAAACCGCTGGTGCTGTCCACTTCGCCTTTTCATCCGGTCACGCACTGGAAGCAGGCACTCCTCTACCTGAACGAACCTGTGCAAGTGGAACAAGATACGGACATTTCCGGAGAGATCACGCTGCTGCCCTCCCGGGATAACCACCGTCTCCTGCGCGTGCTGCTGCGCTACAAAGTAGGCGACCAGGAGGAGAAGACCAAAGACTTTGCCATGGAGGACTGATCGTTGCCTTTTCTCCCAACTACCTCCCGAATCTGCAGGACCCGCGTGGTAGAGGCGGAGGGGGGTTCGGAGGAGAAAGGGAGATTCCACGTGCAAGTAGGGGGCAATACCTTCTGTCTCCTTTTTCCCCCTTGGCTTCTGGGGAGGGAGAGTGACTTGCCTCTCTTCGAGGAGATTCTTCTGTCGATATTTATTTAAAAAGCAAATCCCGAGGCCCCCAACTTTGGAAACAGCTTGTTTATCAATGGGCTTTGTTGAGCCTTAAAAGCATGTGGTACCAAGCACTTGCATTTCTATTTCTTTTGTTACACGGGAAGAAAGCAAAAACACAGAAGAAAATATAAGTTTATGAAGGCTCCATGCACATCCCTGACACCTCACATTTAAATCTGTAGCCAGGGAGAACAGTAAAGGGTTTTGTTAGAGTACATAAATTTCCAATATGACTTAAATAGCTCTCCAGAGCCATATTCTATCATTCTCTGAATTCTCTCCTTTCCTAGGTGCCTCTAGGCTTCAGTACTTCTCCCTCATTGTTTTTTAAATAAACTTTGCTGCTGGTAATGAGAGGGAGGAGAAAGAGGAAGCAGTTTGAATAACCCTGTTCTTACACTTACTACTTCCATAGGGTGCTAAAAAGTTGAACACTTTTCTCCATTGAGTAAAATTGGCTGTATACAGTTGTGTGGCATACCCAAGAAACCTAGAAGGTAGATGTAGGAGAAAAGATCTGAAAGATGGTGAAGTTAGTATGGATTTTTTAATTCTTATCTTTTAAGACTTAAACAAGGAAGTGTTTTATTTCATATTTGTTACATAATAAAGTTTTGTGTGATTCTTACTAAACAGGCTGATAGAAGGTTTTTCTGAACCTGACCAAGGGTTTATTCATCATTTGGGGTAAATTATTTAGCCTCTCTAAATGAAGGAAAATATTTTCCCAGCTGGAGAAGTGCACTCATTTAAACTCTCATCTAAAGAGATCATGTGATCTGGCCTACTTACATCAAGTGAAATTTCCTTTTTTAGAGGTTTTTTTTTTTTTTTTCTTTCTTCTTTTTAGCTCAGCCAAATGTGAAAGTTGTGAATTTAGGAAAATCATTTGTAATGAAGTGTGAGTCATGTTATCAAATTTATTTCACGGATGTTTCCCTCCTTATCCCTGTGGCAAATAAAACATTGGCATTCATTCTATTTTTATAGATGAAGTAAGAAGTCTTGTGTACTGTGACTTATAATGCTTTTTGCCTTTTTAATATTGTCAATTCTTAAGAGTGTTACAACCCCTTCAGAATATAGTTTAAGGGTAATTTATGCTTGATGTATGTTTTTTTCTTCATACTGGTAGCTTGTATGCTAATAGAAAACAGGTGTGAAAAAGTGGTCTTCTGAAATAATCTAACATAGTTTTTTGTTCATTGTAACCAAGTTTTCTCTTTTATTCATCGCATATTAAGGTACTAAAGTATTTAATTTGCTCAAATTTAGTGTTAACACATGAGATCTTCAGTTATGAAGGGAAACATACAAAATCATGACTTTATTAGATCCTTGAATAGCAAGCAACAGTAGTGATAGTTGTCACCATTTTGATAGTTAACAGTCTATATAAATGGAACAGTCATAGCAAGCTGGGCCTGATTTAAGCTGGAGATCTAATCTAGGTCCTTTTTTTTTAGGGTGAACAGCTTTTTTTAACTTGAACATGTATTTAGAATTTATTGTATGGTTTTGAATAAATTTCTAATATTTTTTAACTTCCTATAACAATCCCGTTACTGTTTGGGCAAACAAAAGCATTCTCCCCGAATTCCATTTTTTTTAAATACAGTATATCTTTTATAAATCTATGTATACTATAGAGTTCTCATCACCAGTGTAAGCATGCAAAGAACACCAATGAAAACTTAGGGTAACCCTAGAAGTAGAAATGATTTCATACTTAGGCAAAGTAAGCTGTAATATTCTTGTAACTGTTTCCCAAAAGAAAAATGAATTGTAATAAAAAAAAAAATATAGCTACTAAAGCAATTAGTGGAAAGGCAGCATAGCATAGGATTAAAAGCTAGGACTTGAACCAGACATATCCTGCTGGTATCTAGGCTCCACCACTCTTTAACCCTGTGAACTTGGGCAAAATACTTAACTTCTGTTCCTCTCCAGTGTTCTGCAAAATGTAAAACAATCATGCATGCTCCATAGAAATGTGACACATGTGATACATGTGGTCAATACATGTAAGGATATAATGCCTGGTACACAGTAAGATCTTAGTGAATCCTAGCTGTTGTAATTACAGAAAAGTGCTATGCAAACCTGAAGCATTTGGACACCTATAAAATGTACCACAGAATAAATATTCAACATTTTGATTTTTTTTACAGGTGTTTGGCAGTATCAGCATGGCTTTGTATGATGAGCGATGTATGACTGGACACCAGATGATCCAAAGGAAGTCCAAGCCCTTTGGAGTGACAACATTTCCAGAAGGATGAGAATGTGACCTGCTCCAATACCCAGGCACTGTTCAGTCTCTGTGTGAACTGGCACTGATTGCCTAGGGTCATTTGGGCCACAGGAAGAACTGTCAGCCCTAAGAAGAGAAAGAAACGGTGAAGTTCTACCTGCTTTTTTCAGACAGCTTACATTTATTTAGCACTGTGAAACTTTCCAAATATTTACATTCACTGGACCAATGGACATTTTATTGAGAATACCAAGTAACAGTCATTGTGAGAAGCACTTAGGATACAAACCAATAAAACATAGCTTTTGCTTCCAAATAGATGTGTTCATAGGATAAACCAGAAAGAAAAATACATAAATGATAACAGGCTAAAGACTTGGGATGGTGTAAGTGTTAGGAAAGGCAGGTCACTTTACATAGTAGGAAAAAGACTTTGTTACTGAAGGATGCCTATGGTTACATAGCTAATTCTTGACAGTTGAACACAAGTATTTCAGTTCCTACCCCCAAACAACCTCTTAATTTAAGAAGGTTCCATTGGGATATAAGTCATAGGTCCCAAAGAGCCACCATAGGATCTCAAGGTTGACAATTACTAATTACTAGGGACTTGTGAAACATACCATGTACTCGTTTCCCTAAGAGGGCTAATCAAGTGTGGCATTCTTTCTGAAGCCTCCAGGAGAAAATTCTCAATGCAGTAGCAAAGAAAAGTAGATACATTCTGCCATTCTGGTTATAGGTACTTTGTGCTTGAGATCAGGGAGGCATCCAATGAGGTGTTCACTAATTTAATGATTTCATAAACACCAACTATCTAACAAGTTCTATGATAAATAAGCAAATGGTACCCTCAACTGGAATACAAGAGGGGAATAAAATCACCTAGACCAGTGATTTGCATACATTATTTAACCTGGAAGAATTCAATCCAGCTAAATCTTAACCTCTGCTGAAGCAAGAATGAGAAGCCAGCCCTTTTGTCAACTGTAACCTTAAAATTCCTCTCAAGTGCAGAATTCCTCTCTATGTTACTTATCACATAGATTATGAGGACCTCACAGAAAGATGTGATGTAAAGAGGAAGATGATATAACGAGACTATTCCTCAAAACATTGCATATGCATGTAGGATGAGACATTTGAAACAAAATATCTGGATCTACCTAAGCACAAAATTGTAATAAAAACTAAGACATGACCAGTAACATTGGAATTGTGCTCCTCTGGGAGCTTTGATGATTAAGTTCATTATTTATAATAACTTGGAATAAAGACTGATGAATTTTTTAGTTGATTGGGTAGCTTTTTAACTTACAACAAATACAGAAAGCTGTAAGGAAGGAAAAAAATTCCTCCTTTGTTCATGCTGCCCCCTGCACAAAAAGGAAGGTGGGGTGGAGGTAAATCTTCCCCACACTTTTTTTTTTTTCAACGTTTATTTATTTTTGGGACAGAGAGAGACAGAGCATGAACGGGGGAGGGGCAGAGAGAGAGGGAGACACAGAATCTGAAACAGGCTCCAGGCTCTGAGCCATAAGCCCAGAGCCTGACGCGGGGCTCGAACTCACGGCCGCGAGATCGTGACCTGGCTGAAGTCGGACGCTTAACCGACTGCGCCACCCAGGCTCCCCCCCCACACTTTTTTAAAGTGCTTTACCAGTGTTTTTGCAATCAGATGAAAGAGGTACTTGTGAAAACCTTCCCAGTCTGTAATATTTTGCACTAAAAAATGGCGAACTTCAGGGAAAATTAGTTTGGGTGGACAATTAAAACTTATGTAACTTTGTAACCAAGAGTACTAAGAATTCCAATAAATATAGCAGCAGTTAAAAAAAAAAAAGATTCTAGTCCTAATAATACTGCAGTAAATAAGATAGTGTGATGGAAGAAAAAGAAGAGTTACTGAGAAAGCAGAATGCACAAAAATGGATTGAAGGTGTAATAAACATTTCAGGACACAGCATGTGGCCAAACAGTGCCAAGAGGAAGAATATAGGGTGTGACAGGTTTTTGACTCGCATCAACTGTGTCCATATACCTTATGTCAGGTGGTGGTTGCCTGGTGAGAGGAGTCAACCGACTAACCAATGTCCGTCCACATTATGTTCTGACGTTGTTCCTCTACTTACCAATACCGTTTGAGTTTATTCATTTATAGAAACATGCATGACAGTAGAACATTCTGTCCTTTGTTCTATTTCCAGAAATTAAACCAATTTGAAATTCCATTGGGTTTGTAGATCTTTTTTTTAACTTTTTTTTTTTTTTTAGTGTTTATTTTTGAGAGAGAGATAGAGTGTGAGCAGGCTCCAGCCTCCAGCTGTCCGCACAGAGCCCCATTGGATGTGGGGCTCATCTCAGGAACCCCACCCACCCAAGCTCTTGACCTGAGTTGCTTAACAGACTGAGCCACCCAGATGCCCCATAGAGCTTTTCTTTTTAATGCAAATTGTCTTAAAAGGAAAATGGAAAGGAGGTGGGGAGGCTTACAGGTCACAAAACTATCCTTTAGTATGAATCTATGTATTTTATTATTTTGGTCACTGGAAAAGTTCAACAGGAAAGGGGACTAGAAATGCTGACCTGTGTAGAGTGGAAGGAAGAGTTGAGTATTCAGAAAATGGTTAGATAATGTGATTGAGGACAGTAAGTGTTTCTCCAGAGTCAGAGGACAACATAAAAGATATCTTGGGGTCAAGGAGGCATGAGGTTAGTGAGAGAAGCTCATAAATGAAGATCAGGATCCCAATGCATACATTTTGCCCACATCACCATATCCTTAGGGTAAGGTTTTGCTGAAGTCATGGGCTCAGAACATAAGCAAGAGTGTTTTGATAGATTACAAACTATTGCTTATTTTGATAGTTGTCTTTAACCTCTCATTTCAGCTTAATTTCTAAACAGATTCAAGGATTGTTCTATTTAAGAACTCAACCCTTTCAAATTTGTGAACAAAACCACCAACCTCCATTATCTCAAGCTATGTGCAGTTTAGTAATGGGTTGTATGAAATGAGATGACATTAGGCCTTAAAAAAAATAAAACAAAATAAAATAAAACAACCCACTTACAGCTTTGCTCTTGGTAAAATTATCATATTTAAACGGGTTCTTTAAAAAAAAAAAGGTACAAACTTCCAATTATAAAATAAGTCACTAAGATGAAAAGTACAGCATAGGTAATATGGTGATTTTGTAATAATGTTATTTGGTGACAGATGGTGACTATATTTAGCAGGGCAAGCATGTATAGAGTTGTCAAATCACTATGTTGTACACTTGAAACTAATGTAACATTGTATGTCAACTATACTTCATAAAAAAAGTGTACGTGAATAATTTGATACACACAAAAAAACAAAGTGTAGGGTTCTAACTTTATAAACAGTATTGGAGAACAGATTAAGATCCACAAATGATTAAAACTTTCATTTTATGCATTCATTGGAATCAGACCTTTTACCAGGAATTTCAATAGAAATAACAAACTGCTTATTTTATTATTACTATTTTAGGTAGGATCCATGCCCAAAGTGGTGTTAAGCTCACAACCCTGAGAGTCAGATGCTCTACCAACTGAGCCAGCCAGGTGCCCCACAAACTGCTTATTTTAGTATGAGCTTCTCACTCTACCATCATTTATCACCTGGTGAATTATAAAAATAGGAGACATTTAAATGGTTAAGAATGTACACAGTAAAAGAATTAAAAAGAGAGGATTTGGAAAATCTACAGATTATACAGTCCCTGAATAATTGAGAATTTACTCTAGTCAGAATAATTAGGGGAAAACATAAAGAGAATGACAGCAATTACAAGGGGATTTTTATACAAAATGAAATGAAAAACTACCAGGAAATGTGCTGTTTGTAATAAATAGAATTCAGTATCGGCTAGCTTTGCTTGATCTCCCAATCAGAGGGATATTACAGAGCCCAGACATTGTTGTAAAACTGGTTCACATATCAATTAATTCCATGGTATTGGGTCCCAAGAAAAATTGGCTTCAGGATGGTAAGTTCTTAAATAGATAAGAGAACAGTTAGTTGAGTTACTCTAGGCAATCAGTTAAGGTTTGTAAAAGTAAAACTAGATGTGGTCATTGTGCCATCGTCACAGTGATGTCATTGAAGACATTAAAATGATATTCAGTGCTAAAATACGTGATATAGTTGTTAGGGAGGTACCATTTTTCTTTTTTTGATTCATTATCTGATTTATTGTATACCGGATGATAATGCCTGCATGGAGGCATGTAGTGAAAATAGCATATGCTGAAACTTTAGACCAAACACTATTCCAGTGCACCAGCTACTACTTCTCAGCACGTAGAATGCTTTTATGCAATAATGGTATATTAATCAAACTGTGCAAAGTCCCATTAAAATCAATGATGTATTAACTTTGTTTACCTCACATGAGTAACACATAATAAAATAACGTTCTTCAAAGAGTGGCTTTCATCCTAAGGAAAGCTCCATATCATAAGTTTTCATTTAAGAGAAACTCCTCCTTTTGTTAGGCCACAGCACACAGAGATAGTCCCTATACTTATATAAAACATCCATATTAATTTTTAAATCATTATTGAGTGCCTAATGTTCTATATGCATTTTAAGTACATTACCTTATTTAACTCTGAAATAGCTCTATGAAGTAGTTCTATTATCAGTCCCATCTTACAGATGAGAAAACAAAGGCATGGTGTTTGGTGAATTGCCCAAGGCCACAGGGAGGGAGAGTAAGTGACAGAGCTCCAGACTCCTCTCCTAAAGTCTGAGCATCTGACTTACTACACTATCCTATCTATGATGCCTGGGCTCTCTGGAGTTAAGGTTACATCTATAGTCTTTTAAAATAGGTTGGTCATTGTCTTAAGCCACAATCCCCAGAAGCAGGCCTTGAGACAAGGATACATATAATGGTGTTTATCAGGTGTTCCCCAAACAGGCCTGAAGGGCAGTTGAGAAGCAGAAAAGAAGGGAAGGAGAAGAGACTGGAGTGTAACATTAAACCAAATCCTAAGAAAGGGAACTTTGGCTCAGTCCTGCAGAGATGCTCTGGGGACAGCATAGATCACATCTCAGAATGTCCCGTTAGGGAGCAAGAGAGCTGGAGCATTCATACCCTCTCACCCACCGGACATTGGTTAATTCCTGCCCCTGGAGAGACGTAAATTCCTAGGCACTTGCTTGCTCTCCTGTGGATGGGTGCAGCAGTTTTCACAGCCTAAGGACAGTCCCCAGCTAAGGATTACCGGTGAGGAAGTTTGATGGTAAAAAATACTGGAGGAGCAGATATACAAGAAAGAAAAGGGATGCCAAGTGGCACACATGGGGAATAAATGGAGCACCGATAGAATATTGTTCCTGCCATAAATATCTTTTCTAAGATTCCTTTACATTCTAAATAAATAGTTACAGACACTTTGTTTGTTGATGTCCCTCTTTCATTAGTCTTTTAAAAGCTGCATGAATAAGGTATAAATATAATAAATATGTAGAAGGAAAAAGTTAACCTATTCGCTACAGTTTAGAGTGTATCTTTCTACTATATTCTCTTATATACAGCCTACGCGGTTGTTTTTAAAAATGTGTAGGCATATTACCCATGTTACTCTGATAATTGTTTTTTGAGGGTTAAAATACATATACTAAATATCCCATGAGGTCAATGTATGTATCTATAATTTATTCTTATTAATAGCAATATGAAAATGTTAATAGTATAATCCATAATTTATCCAACCAATTTTCCATTGGTAGACAGTTGTGTGCAATTCTTTGCTACTACAAATTATACTCACCTTTCACTTTATTCTTTCTCTAGGTGAGCTCAGCTCATCCAGTCACATTATTTTAAGTAGTGTACCATCCATATGCCAATGACTCCCAAATTTATATCGTCATCCTTGACATCTCTCCTGCATCTCAGACTCGTATGTACCACTGCTTAATTGTCATCTCCACTTGGACATGATAGGCATCTCAAACCTAACATAACCAAACTAGTCTACGTAAATAACATGTATATAATTATATACATAATTTTTAACATATATGTGTATATCTCTAAGCATATTTTAAGTTTTGCGTGTTTTTTAAAACCAATATATATTTATTAAATATAGTTTTTAAATATTCAGAACTTTAATCCTCTACTCAACTCAATCTTTAGTCAAGGGTTAATATGCT